AAACATTAATATTGGAAGCTGTCAACAAGAATGCAAACTACAGACTGACATTTAACACCTTTCTTCCAATAAGAAGGATAAAAATAAGAGAAAAATGTGAAAATTAGTAATAACAAGTTGTATTTTATCTGGCTCACCACAGAGTGTCACTGCTTTCCCACACGTTCCTTGATGGAGAAATCAGCTCCTGTCAAACGACCAAAATCAGAGCCCTGTGGTTTGATTAGGGAGTACTATAGGACTAGGAATCCTACAGAGCAGTTAGGCCCACAGCATCCTTTAATGGCAGGATCACCTTGGAATAGGTTTGGCTGAATTTTGTGCACATATTCATTTTGGTCTATAGAAAGCTACACGGTGCAGAAGAGTGGAGTTTGATACCACCTCTGTACAGCCGATACTCAGCTCTGTATCATTTCCATACCAGATTCATATCAGATCCCAGCACTCTGCATGAAAACAGTTGATGGATCAATGGGAAAAAAATGCTGAGTGAGGAGATGGTGAGAAGAGAAATAGCCTGAAGAGCTTGAGTTTGGTCACTTGAGAAAAGCACTCCATAGTCATCTGCTGTGCTTATCAAAAGAGGGGTAAGTTGAGACCACCAGTGTAGAACAAGGGAAGAGCCACCTTCTGGGCTGAGCTGACTCACCAGAGCCAGCAGAACGTTGCACGTGGCTGCTGGACACTGTATTAAGCAGCAATTCCTCTTATTCACCAGTATTTGCCTCTAAATATCACTGCTTTCCTTGGCTGAACTATTATTTAGGACTTCTGGAACTATCCAGCCACTCGTAAGTGTTTCCAAGAGGCATTTAAGGTCTCATATTCCTTCCCTCCCTGAAAAGCTGATGGGAAAGGTGCTTTTTTATTATTTATTTTTCTTTCTTTTCTTTTTAGAAAGGGAAAATAGAAGAACAGAAACTACTAAGTAATATTTCCTAGATTATAAAGTGACTTTGGTGTCAAGAGGGCATTTTTTTCAGCCATTTCAGCCAATTGCAAAGCTTGGAATATCAGGAACACAGCAATTACCGGAGGGTGTTTAAGGGCTTATTACCCACACTGCTAACTAATGATGAGAAACTAAATCCCCACATAAAAAATACCACAAAGTAAAATAAAAGTATACATAAAAACTTGACTGGGGGTTGTGCTTTAAGTACTTGTTAAAGCAGCTGGGTTTCTGTATATTATATAAGCGACTTTTTGTTTATATTTCAGCACCAGGCAGGATCAAAGTCCTGTTTACAGAGCTTCACCCTCCTCACCACTTCCCAACCACATCGGGGAAGGCAGGTGATTCCTTCGTGGGCCGAGAACCGTGGGCACAATAAATGTGCTGCAGGGGCTCTGCTCCAGCTCTGGGGAAAGGGAAGTGGCTGGTGCACGTCTGGGTGGTGCATACTAGATTACAGGCCCCTTTCCAGAGGCTCCTTTTATGCCTTCCCATGTACTTTCTGCAGAACATACTCAGTGGCCTTTCCTACTGCCAGCTAAAATGGTCACTAGACAGCACAGCAAGCAGGAATCGGCAGGGGAAAATCTTCCACCTTGGACCTACTGCTCTGCCTTTTTTTTTTTTTTTTTTGCCTCATGCTCCAGGACAAGATTTTTTCAGCCCGACTGAATCCTTCTGGCAGCAACCCAACCCTCACATAATTCCCTGTGTGCCAAAGCAGATTTTCCTTTCTCCCCTCCTCTTCGAACAGCTTTCTCCTAAATTGCCCATCCCCTAGGACCCTCGAGCAGGCTCTGCCCTGCTCTTCCCTACTCGAGACCAGTTGGTGCTGCACACTCTTCAAAGGCTGCAGGCTGCTCCATGACCCGAGACAAGAAGGAAATCTCAAGGAAAACGGAAGGCGCTTCCTGGCTAAGGGCTACTGCTAACAAAAGAGCTCTCCGGGAATGGCTGCTCTTCCCCTTCCCCCGATCCTCCCCCACAGCTGTGGCTCCTGCTTGAGCGGCAGGTATAAAAACAAGGGAACACTGTGGAATTCAACGCTAAGTTTGAAAAGTTTCTTCGAAAATGGGTAAAATCCATTTGGATTTTACAACCAGCAGCCCTCGACGCCCTCCCGCCTCACGGGCGGGCGACCGTGGGGGCGGCCCGGGCGGGGGCGGGAGGAGACCACGTGATCCCGCTCTCCTCCAATAGGCGTCGCGGACGGGCAGGAGCGCTGTCTGCCATTGGCCAAGAGAGGGCGCGCGCGGGCGGGGCGGGGGC